GCCGCTTGGTGGTGGGTATGTCGACGGGTCATTTCTTTTTTCCGTACTTCCTAAACTGAATTTGTTTATTTTCTGATCTAAAATACTGAAGAAAAACTACTCTCATGAATAATTGAAACGGTTCGCGGCTCTGACAAGTAGTAAGGCCAGAACCAAAAACGCCACGTTGTCGTCACATATCGCGCGCTTTCGGCACCGCGGGTCGCCCCCGTAGGCGGAGGTGGTTTCGGCGTCGTCCGGTTAAAATATGACGCACTTATATTTCGTTACTCTGTTCTCAGCTCTGGGTGACCCAGACAGGTCTCTCACGATCAACGTTGCCGGATTGGATTGGGTTAGCCCTTCTAGACGATCGAATAAATCGGCTTCTTGTCGTACCTGGCCTCACTTTAGTATTAGGATTCCATAGGTGCTGCATTTGTTATGTGAAAGAATGGGGGAAACATAAATTCAAAGGAAAACAAGAAATAACTTGTGAGTGCGTGTGTTATCGCCCAGCAAAGCTTTTTTTTTTTTTTTGGTACGAAATAATTAAATAGTATTGTTGGCTATTGTAGGGTTTATTATGACAGAAATTCTGGTGGAATGAGAAGGAAATATACTTCGCTTGCATTTATTTCCTTCATTTGTCAAAATAAGCACCGTGCAAAGACCTACCATGTCACTTCATGGTTTCACACAAACTATATTGCTTGACTTATATAAAAAAAAAACAAAAAAAACGTTTTTTTTATATTTTTTAAGCGAACTTAATCTTTCATGTATTGCACCAACAGTAAAAATAATTATTGCTATGTGCCAAATAATTATGCGGTCCCTTCAAAGGTTCAATGTTTCCCCCGGTCCACACCGTATATAGCGTAAAATGAACTTTGCTTCATGTTTCATAACATTTTTATGTGACCGTATTTTATGATACGATAAATTTATTTTACGTCGCATGTTTCAGCATCACCGCGAAACATATGGTTTCTAACACAATGATATAAAAAAAAGGTAATTGAGCGTTCTGGAAAGCATAGATTTCGTGCGCAATCGTGGGTTTTTACTTAATTTTCGCGTATCCTTTCAGGATGGTTCGTAAAATATTTGCGTAATCACTTTTCTGTACTCGGCGCTTACTATCTCAAAATAGAACTTGCCAATCTCATTGATTGTACCAGTTGCACGTTCGGCAATCAACGTATTAAACCTACCTCCTGTAGTCTCTCACTAAATCATGAAAAAGAAAAAAATGTAATTGAACGTACTGGAACGCAAATAGTTTTCACGCGGAATTGGGGGATGGTTGATCGTCGAGGTGTATATATATATATATATATATATATATATATATATATACCGGGTGAAACAAGGAGACGGTAGGCTCTTTAAATCGACCGGAAAATTCGGTTTCTCAACCTATCGCGCTACGACTTTGTGCAGCGTTGCCCACAGATGGTGCATTTGTTTTGTAAAATTTGCAAAGAGCGAACTTACCTGAGGAAAAAGTAAAGAAAGAAAAAGGCTTAGCTCCTATGGAAACGGAGCGACGCCACCGGTCTGCAATCAACACGGCGCCGTTTTGCACGGTAGACAAGAGATGGCGCAACGAACGAGCATACGGGCGCAGAGAGCTGGCCGAGGTATTCCTCAAAGGCTCTTTAGCAGACGATCTTTTCGATTCAAAAGCGGCGCGCGTTCCGCAGGCGGCGACAGTCGCAGAAACAAAAAAGACAGGCGCGGTAACAGCAAGGAACTGCAGTTCCTTGTCTGCTAATTACGCCGGCTCTCGGCGTCGTCTGCTCGTTCGTTGGCGGAAGTTGGCGTCGCGACCGCTTGCGCCATCTCTTGTCTACCGTGCAAAACGGCGCCGTGTTGATTGCAGACCGGTGGCGTCGCTGCGTTTCCATAGGAGCTAAGCCTTTTTCTTTCTTTACTTTTTCCTCAGGTAAGTCCGCTCTTTGCAAATTTTACGAAAAAAATGCACCATGTGTGGGCAACGCTGCACAAAGTCGTAGCGCGATAGGTTAAGAAACCGAATTTTCCGGTCGATTTAAAGAGCCTACCGTCTCCTTGTTTCACCCGGTATAGGAACCGTGCGCATCTAATTCAAGCCCCGACCAGGGCGCCCCTAGCGCCAAACGGGTCCATCGGATCGGGGAGCTTCTGCCAGTCGCTGCGTTGGTTGTGTGTTGTAGTGGGTTAGCGTTGTAATTTCTGAGATGGCTATTCCGCACCAAGAAAGCCGCAACAATTGCTGCGTGGTCGGCTGCAACAGTACGTCGAAGATCGCACACGGCACGAAGTACTACATCGTTCCTTCGAAGCCGTACGGCCGTACGAGGCGGAGTACCGCGCGACCTGCAGGTGCGACTTGTGCGTCCATACAGGTTAGTGGCGTTTCTTACCTTCCTGTTCGCGCTTTGTTTAAGCTGCTGACGAATAATACAATTAACTTTTTTCTATTCTAGCGACGATGGAACAGCATCGACCCCGACGGCAAACTCTAAAGTATGCGGCAAATACTTCACCGGAATCGAGAAGCGGAGTGCGGTCGCCCCCCTAAGCCTACACTTGGATGTTTCCATCAGCCTACAGGAAGATAGTAGTGGGAATCGCGGAACGGCGCGAAAAAAATCGCCCAGTTATTGTCAAGCTGATTCAGAAATAAACGTACATACCACGGTCCACTCAACGCCAACTACATTTTTTTGCGGGCACGCTTAATTTTGTTAGCGGAGTACGGCGCTCCGTGACATCCACTTGACCGTCGAAACGGACCTCCTTCACGTCGTACACGCGGCCAGATTCACGAAGGAGTTTTCCCTTCTTCATATTGGTACCACGGAAGAAGCTTTCTAGATTCGTAACCGCCTTAAACCCCGTCGGAATCACCCCGGGAACACTATCCGCTGTGCTAGCTGTGCTGCTCATCGCCGTTGCTTCCCCCGATGATTCTGCACCGGCTACCGAAGAAGTTTTCCGGATTCGTAATCGCCCTCTGTCCTCTGTGGTGTTCGTTGCTATTACTTCCCGATGATTCTGCGCCGACGGCACCGGCTACCGAAGGAACTTTCCGAACTCGTAACTGCCTTAAATTCCTTCGTAATCACGACGGGGACACTGTCTGCCGTGCTGTTCGTCGCCATTGCTCCCCGATGCTCCTGCGGCGGCTACCGGTAGGTCGCGGCGAACAATAGGCGACCGCCGCGACACGGCCGGCATGCTCGCTTCCTATATATATATATATATACCGGGTGTTTTTGCGAAGACTTTCAAAAATCCTAAAAATTAGGGCGATTGAAAAAAGAAGAAACTCTCTTGGGGAACAAACTACCAGCCACGGCGGACGTCAGGAATTGCCAAAACCTACTAATTAGCCAGATAATTGATTAAAACTTGTTAATTAACTTTTTAATTAGGGGAAATAGACATATGGTTTCAATTAGAAAGTTGCTGAGCGTTATCGAAAACCACTAAATCAGTCATTTTCAGAAAGACTTTGAGCGCGTGAGACGAGTAGTAGCGCACTGAAGTTACCACTCGTGGAGCAGGTACAAGGCTAGCGTTTGCGGTAAGGCGCCCGCGCGATTTTTCCGCCTCTTATCTAGCCCCAGCCTTGTACCTGCTCCACGAGTGGTAATTTTAGTGCGCTACTACTCTTCTCAAGTGCTTAAAGTCTTTCTGAAAATGTCTGATTTAGTGGTTTTCGATAATGTTCAGCAACTTTCTAATTGGAATCATATGTTTATTTCCACTAATTAAAAAGTTAATTAACAAGTTTTAATTAATTATCTGGCTAATTAGTAGGTTTTTGGCAATTCCTGCCGTCCGCCGTGGCTGGTAGTTTGTCCCCGAAGAGAGTTTCTTCTTTTTTCAATCGCCCTAATTTTTAGGATTTTTTAAAGTCTTCGCAAAAACACCCGGTATATATATATATATATATATATATATTTTAATGACTCAAAAATTCTTTTCTTTTCTCCTACTCGAAACTTACTATTCCAAATGTGACTTTCCAGTCTGATTTGAATTTACGGGCGGTAGGGATCAGCAATTAAGTTAAATACGCATAAAATAAGAGCGAGAAGTAAACTATAAAAATCTAAACGGAAGAGTTTCTTCGCGGCAGTCTTTTCGCTTCGTGTCTGGCCTTCTCCCATTCTTTCGCTGTTCGGCGCCGTATTGACCCGGGAGCAGGTGTACGGAGATCCGCTGCATTTTTAACTTTTGTGTTCTCTTTTGTTCCGTCTTACGCCCAAGAAGATGTGGTCGTGGCCTCTTTTTTTTTTACTAGGCTCTGCCCCCGTAACCAGAGCCTCTCCTTTGCCAGCTGTCTTCTCGCAAAAATAACGCCCCCAGCAGCATGGCGGAAACTCGGCCGTAGCAGACGACGATAGCGTCCGTGAGCAGACGACGCCGCTGCCGTCGCACGGTTTGTCGTCTGCTAAAAACCTTTTCTATGCATGATCGATACGACGGAGGGTCGTTTATCGTTCCTTTCTGCTTTTGATTGACAAGGTTCGCGGCTTCGCTGAGGCCGAGTGACGTCATTTACCGATGCCGGTCGCGTTTTATTATTATTATTATTATTGACGCGACGCCCCCTTTTTCCCTTTCCTTGAGAGCATTTACGTCCGCGAGGGGGCGTCTGTCGATTTGTTGTTTTGTTTCGTAGCAGACGACTTTCTGCTTCGCCGGGACGACCGATCGTGTGCTGCTCGCTCGCTTCCGCAGTGTTGTTTTTCGATCGTGGTTTTTTTTCTTGTGTGTATTTTATTTTAAAACAGTAATTTAGCAATTACTTCAATTTGGTTTTGCTGTTCCTTTTCTAGCTTCGATTACACGTGTGCGATCTTGACTCTAAAAATCGAGTACACTACCGTTTGCAAGGTGTCGTTTCCGCGTTTTCTGTTGATAGGCGGCACGGTAGGTGGCGACTATTTAGTTGTAAAAACCTCAAGATAAAATCGGAGATGATATACGGTCAAATTGCCTTTTTTTTAATGTTTTTGCAGATGCAGACACTTTGGGCTCCCCAACGACAGATACCGTCTTGATCGAGGTAAGAATGCATTGTTTCCCGCTCGGGGTATTAACGAGTTTCTATATGATTGGAGTTCATCGGCAATTATTAACTCCGTGGCAACGTATTGCTTCAACGCACGCCCATAAATGTGTGATTAGAAATGGCAGTGTCGACCTTCGAGCAAAAACTGCGAAACGGTGGATCATGTGTTAATCTAAGTTCAAAGTAACGTTTAAAGTTTAAAGTTGTGTATAAAATTTAAAGTAAACGTGGAAGGCCTATAGAATAACATTTTGAGGATTTGAGATGAGCGAACTCGTTGGGCGATAACCTATGGGTGGAGTAGAATGACATTCGGCGGAGGTCAGTAATAAGTGCTTATGAACTTATGACTGGTTTGCTGGCAATGGCAATAATTGTCACGTAGCTCGCAGATAAAGCTTAAAATCTGTATAACTTTCAATACGAAGAAAGCAGCACAAACCGGGGACAGAAGCCAACACGCTCGTCAAACTCATTCGAGTAACTTGCATTTTAATTTAATTTGTATTTTGACACCACGGGACAATTTTCAATTCCTCGACAATTACACCGAGTAGCCGGTAGCAGAAAGACGCCTTGATAAGCGGTTTACATTCGGATAACTCATTTGCAACGAATTTAGGTTGTGTTCGCTGCATCTTGTTTTCTGATTTCATTGCATTTCGGCAGTAACTTACAGCGATTACTTTTTGTACTCAATTTCATAGCTGAATAAAAGTAATTTCGGCGATCGCGGCGTTCGCCGGGTCGGTCTTTTTCGACCTTCCAACACGTTCGACAAGCATGCGCTTATTTAAAAAAAAAAAAAAAGAAAAAAGAAACGAGTTGGCACCGCCTTGCGGGGGAGGGGTGCAGCATGTAAACAAAGTCCAATGTTAAAAACATAAATATGGTTAATTTTACATTGTGTAAGCATTAATAAGTATACTGCAAAAATTTATTTTGCCGTATTTTCCGGGCTATATAGTTGAAAAAGTTGAAATTTTTGGCTGTGCGGACTCTACAGCAGTCTTGTTTTTCAATATCGTTGATTATGACGAGACGGATGGTGTGAACGAAAGAGTGTGTTGATAATTATTTATGTATAATACGAGCTTCTTTGTAAACTAAGAGAGCGGACATTTGTTTTCGTGTTGCCTAAGCACCAGGTGCGGGCCTATCCAAGCAAGAACATTTATTGTTGACCCGGAATCGGGACTATAGCCCGGAAAATACGGTATTGTATAAATATTTCTTTTTTCCCAACATTTTGTCGAACCAGCGAAACATCGAACCTCAGGTTGGAGAAAAGTTCGTGACATCCCTATAGTACCGAACCTTTGAAGTGAAGCCTTTAAAGCCGAGCCTTTAAAAAACGGATTAGAGGTATTTAGGGTCTGGCCTTTCCGGTTTCTATTTATATATATATATATATATATATTAGGCGTACTTCCTTCGGTTTTTATTAACACATTTGTGTTTTTCGGTGACTTTTTGTACATATAAACGCATGCCCTATGCGTCATTTTTTAGCGCTTTTAGTGAATCGAACTTCGATATCTTTATCTCCCATCGGGATTTCATACGGCACGTAGACGCCATTGGACGTGTTCCTTATAAATGCTGTTGTATTTTTATACGTATAAATTCCCCTTCTGTTACGTGCAAAACGCAGCAGACCTCGAAATTGTTTGTGGCCACGGCAAAAACAAAGCTTATGATTATTATCCTTAACCCCAAACGCCAAACCCTCTGGGTAGTATAGACGTCGGCCATCGTGGGCTGTTCCAGTTTTTCGAGGCCGCTCTCGTTGGGCGAAAGTCTCCTCCCCGGGAGATTACTTCCCTTTTTCCGGCTTTCGCCCAGTTCGCCTCCGAGGCTGACCAAATTCGGCTTCTCATTTTTCCTGGCCGAGTCGAGTGGTGGCGACCGTGTCCGAGATTGCCGGTCAGAGTAAACACACACACCGGCGCGGGTCACCGACCCCGGTGTACGTATCGCATGACTCGACTGGATGTACGCTTCACGACGACGGCTCGATGCGAGTTCAGTTGTTTGTTTGTTTGTTTTTATTTGTTTGCCTATTCAGCATTGCATCCATTCGCAGCTGGACAGCAGCTGCTGTGCATCCATTGTTTCCATTCGCCCTTAACGTATGCGCATGCGCGAAAGTGACGTCACGTTACGTGGGGAAAGCGTGGTACTGGCGGCTCATAATATTACTATCTCGGTCCCCTTTTTTTTTAGGCGCATCGATTTTTATGAAATGACAGGGCTGTCGTATTTTCGCGATTTTAAAAGATCAGGCTTACCCGAAATGTGCGTTCGGCAGTCTTTGTGGCTTTGCGCCGAACAACGGCTTGAAGGATATCGTGGAGTTCCAAAGCGTCGGATGCTTCGCAGCACGACGTGAAATGACGTAATCTATTCAGACGCGGATCGCGTCGTCAGATTCCTCGCATAGTGAAGTAAAACCTGCGCCGAAGAAGCGTCTTTTCTTTTTCTGACGAGTTGAGCACGTTTTATGCTTCTATCACTGTTTTCGCTTAGAAACGGCGGTTTTCTTATGTGCGACTTACACTGCAATACTTTTACGTGGTTGTAATCTGTGGCGTTTGAATCAATGCTTAACGCCTGCATTATAAAAATCCATCGACATCTTCAAAACCAGAGACCGAGGAACAAAAAAAAAGAAAACGACACACGTAAATTTTTTTTTTTTTTTTCCTTGGTCTTGGGTTTTCAACGTGTTGAAAATTCACCAGCTTGCCATCCTGTTCCGTTATTTGTGTATACAGTATCTGTATTTATTAGCCATTTAATCATTATTTGAGCCCAGTGTTACCTCGAACCCAATTCTGGTCGTGTAGTGCAAATTTAATATAAATTCTATACTCGTTGTCACCTAAAAAAAAGAAAAGAGCAAGTTTTGCTTATTGGTCATACGCCGTGTGAAGTAGTTTTTAGAATATTTGGTTATCCGAGGAAGAAGCGATACTTTTGGCTTTTGAAACGTGTACGTCTTGATAAGATAACACATATCTAATTTAAAATGCACCTACTTACCTATATCTTACTTTTCCACATAAAGGCATCTTTAAAGTTCTGCGAGCAGCCAAACTTTTTTTTTACTGTTCTTGAGTTGAAAACGAGTATAGTAGAATTGAACGAATATTTGATACTAATAAAATAATATATAGTGTAACAGAACACGAGAAAACGAACTACGTTTTCAGTGGAACGATGTTCGACGCATTTGTTTTTGTTTTACTGCGGAAGAAGCGAGCAAAAACTCCGCAGTCAAAACAAGTTTTATCAACTGGGCGCGCGCGTCGTCTGCTTCGGCGCGCGCGCGCATCACGTGACATCGACGTCACGATCACGTGATACATCCGTTTCCGATAGCCGCGCCCCCCCGCGCTCGCTGCACGCACCACTGCCGGCCGGCCGTCCGTGGGCCTGCGTGCGCTACCCTACCTACCTGTGCTCGTGCTTGCCGTCCTGCTTGCATCCCACTTTCTTGAGGAGCCGCGCGGTACGGAGGTGGGTTTTATTCGACGGACCGAGGCGATGTTCTTTGTGCGCTGTCACGAGTTGGGACTCGTCGTTCTCGTCGTCTCAGCGTCGTCGTCGTCGTGAGTGAAGTGGCATCGTGTCGTGATCTTCGAAAGACCGTGTGACTTTGATCGCGGGAGTTTTTACGTGGACGAGAAGTGTGAGCAACCCCGAGTGGATCGCCGATTAGGAAGAGCGTTTTCGCGGGAGTGATTCACCTCGTCGACGACGTGCGCACTTCCTCATGAAGGAGAAATCGCTCCAGGTAAAAAGGGAAAATTTGCTCTCTTTTCACTTTGTTGCCTGGGATCAGTCGTATCGATCGATTTATTTAACGAAAATCTACGTTAATCCTGTATTAACCTGTACTGTAAAAGTCTGAACTTTTTTTCTTTTTCATTCTTTTTAAGAAATAATTATTAGTCTGATCTCAGAAGACCATTTTTTTTTTTTTTTTTTTTATCGGAACATTGTTGTGTAGCAATATATTTCGAGCTTAGGGCGTTCGCAATCCAAACAAAAAACGGGACGTCGCAATATGGGACGAGTTTGTTATCCCGTTGGACACGAACGGTAAAAATTCGACGTTCGGACGGCATTCTTCGCTGTAGACGAGGAATTCAGCCCGTGCAGTACCACTGCTCGAACGTGCATCACGCAGTAGTGCAACCTTCAGAAATCCAACGCGTTGTCCGTGTTTTGTTGGGTATTTCTTGTGTTAATCCAGCATCTCCCTCCGAAGGGGAACGTCGCCCGAACATTTCAAGGACGGCCGGTGTTTTGAAACGGGTGCCTGCTGGTACCGCTTGCCGCTCGCTTTCAGTATTCATTGAGATAACATCGCGGTCCCGAACGTGCACTCGAACCTCGCTCGCCTTGAATCGAACCCAAAGCCTGTCACTGCGCGTCCTAAAAGTATCATTAAAAACATAATAAAAACGGTTTTGTTTAAGGCTGTTGTCGCACGGGCGATGCATCGTCCAAGAGAGCTTGGGAGGCTTGTTTCTGCCGTTGTATGACGGTCGCGTTGCTCTTGCATCCTTCGGGGAAGCGTTTGACGCCCCCATTTCAAGTCGAAATCTAGGTCGATCAGAATCTATTCACCGCGTTGCTACCGAGGCTCCTGCAGAGTTTTATTAGAGCACGTTTTTTTCCTCTTTTCGGTTTCTTTTTAAATTTTATTTAAGGTTTTTTTTTAATATTTTTATTTGAGCAGTAAATTAACCCGAAGGTTAGTCGAAGTTTGTGACGGAAGTTGCCCAGATTGGGTGAGCTAGCGCTCGGGATGTGTCAGGGACAGATAACGATGCCTGATAAGAGAGAACAATCGTTTTGACGAATCTGACGGTTTTTGTCCTTTTTATCTCGACCTCTGTAGAGGTAGCGCGTTGATTGTGACTGTTTTTTGTTTGTTTTTTTTCCTCTCGTGTTTTTGCTTTGGTCGGAGCGTGGTGAACCTC